TTTCTCCTTCAGTCTTTTGGTTTTGGTAGGTCATGTGTTTCTAGAAATTTGTCCATTTCTTCTAGATTTTCAAATTTTGTTGGGAGTACAATTTTTCACAATATTTTGTTATTTTTATTTCCATTGGTTGTGTTTTCATCAATACCATTTCGTATTCATATTACTTACATCTTCTTTTATTAGATTGGCTAATAGTTTGTCAATTTTATTAAACCTTTCCAAGAACCAACTACTAATCTTGTTGATTCTCTTGTGTGTTTTTTTATATTTTCTATTTCATCTATTTCTGCTTTAACCTTTATTATTTTCTTCTGGTGGCTTTGAACTTACTTTCTGCTCTTATTCTAACTGTTGGAGACGTTGGTCAAATGTGTTGATTTGGGCTCTTCTTTTTGGATGTGTGCATTTATTTCTATAAATTGCCCTATGAGCACTGCTTTTTCTTTGTCCCAGAGTTTGGGTATTTAGTGTTTTCATTCTTACTTGATTCAAAGAATTTTTTTATTTATTTTTTATTTATTCTGTTACCAATAGCTTTCAAGCAGGGTGTTATTATTCAATATCCATGTATTTGATTTTTTCCCTTTACCTTCCTATTGTTAATTTCTAATTTTATAGTATTGTGATCTGACAAAATGCTTTGTAGTGTTTTGTTACTTTTAAGTTTATTAAGGATTGTAGCCTAACGTATAGTGTGTAATGGAGAAATGTTGCATGTGTACCAGAAAATATTGTGCATTGTGCTGCTGGTTGAGTGTTCTGTATGTCTATGAGGTCAAGTTGGTTAATTGTGTTATATAGTTATTCTGTGTCTTTGTTGAATTACTTTCTAGTTATTCTGTCCTTCATTGAGAGTGATATATTAAAACCTACTATTACTGTTGGTCTCCTGGTGTGGCACTGTAGGATAAGTGCTAGACTGCACACCACAAGGTTGGTAGTTCAAACCCAACAGCTGCTCCTTGGAAACTTTGTTATTATGGGTCATTATGAGTCAGAGTCAACTTGACAGCATGTAACAAGTATTATTGTAGAATTGTCTGTTTTTTATTCAGTTTTGTTAAGAGTTTGATGTATGTATTTTGAGGTTATTTCATAACAGATATTTATTATGGTTATGTCCTTTTTTTCAATTGAGTCTTTCATCATGTATGTAATGCCCTTCTTTTTCTCTTATGTTGGTTTTTGCCTTAAAGTCTATTTTATCAGAGATTAATATTGCCACTCCTGCTTGTTGTTTATTGCCATTTACTTGATATATTTTTCCATCCTTTGATTTTTTTAAATCTATTTTTGTCTTTGTGTTTAAGGCGTGACTCTTGTAGACAGCATATTGAAGCATCCTGTTTTCTTATCCATTCTACTCTCTGTCTCTTGACTGATGTATTTAATACATTTGCATTCAGTGTAATTGTCAATTGTTGTTGTTGTTAAGTGTTGTCAAGTCAGTTCCGACTCATAGTGACCCTGTATAGGGTTTCCAAGGAGCAGCTGGTGAGCTTGAACCACTGACCTTGCAGTTCAAATGGCTT